AAGGCTGTTAGCAAAACTTTGCTTAATGCTTTAGAAATGCCCAAGTCAACCCGGAAGGAATATTTTCCAAATTTATTTAACAAAATTAGCTATCATTTTGTTAATCAAAATTTATATGCTAATTTCAAAGGGTTTCCAGAAAATGACAAAATTGTTTATATTGGAGGTATTCTTGTTGAGGAAAATGAATATTCTAACTTGATAAACCAAGCTAAGAATGAAGTAGGAACTTTTATTAATTCTGTAAGGAAGAGAAAGTTCCAGCTGGCTAGCATTTAAAATGCTCACTAGGCGGGGGTTTAAGGTCTATTAAATGAAAAGGTGAAAGCAGCGTCCCGGTAGCTCAGTTGGTAGGGCACCTGTACATGTTGAACGAGAGTGCCTAGCAATAACTGCCAGGAGGTCGCAGGATTGAAGCCTGCCCAGGATTAAACTTTTACATCGCTCTTACATCACAATAGCTAGCGAAATCATCACAATAGCTAGTGATCGGTCAAATTTTATATTTGATAAAAATTTCTTTAAGCATCCTTCTCTGGTCCTTGTATCCTTTGGGACAGTTAATTTGTTTGGCGGAATGACACTTGGTGATTTTATTGTTATGATAAATGTATTTGCTCCATACAGCAATTATCAATTTAAAATAAAAGTACCATCTGGTCATAATCTACATCCTCCTTCACATATTGAAATTACTGATAAATTTATTGAACAACAAAAAATATTATGTAAATTAACATATTTTTAAATTAATAATTGAAAATAATCTGTTAAATAGCATCCGTTGGGGGATCACCCCACAAGATCAAAACTCTAGAGGACAAGACCCTAGAGATCAAGACCATGAACTAACATTGGTCTTATCCTCTAGGGTTTTGATCTTGTGGGGTGGACCCTTCCCTGGTATTCCATTAATTCCTTCTCTATATGAGCTTGACCATGAACTAACATTGTCTAAGCGTGAGTTATCACTAGGTCAAGGAGTGTGATACTACCTAAACATTATACAAACATTCTGAACACTAGACCGAACTAATAGATTTAAAAGCAAAATTTCCAAAAAATGAATTTTTTAAACTTTTCAGTTGATCCAAATACAAAATTTTTTATTTCGCATTGTGGACAAAACAGTTTGACTGAGGTTTATAATTTTACCGCCTAAAGGAAGCTAAAAAATTTAGCATTTCCAAGTTGTAGGGCAATGTCCCTATATAGGGATAATTGCCCCATATCACTCTGGAACCCCTTAAAGCTTTTGAGCTGCTTTAAGGCAGAGGTGGGTCGGAACAGTCAGAGATGTCGGAAATCGGAAATCAAAATTTTTTTCGGAAATCGGAAGGAAAAAAACGCCGGAAATCGGAAGGCGGAAATCGGAAATAAAATTTTTATTTTCATAACTGAAATTTATTTAAAATTGTAAGGTGGTAAATTATGGGCCTTCTTAAGTGTAATTTGAGGGTGTAAAAGTTCTTTTTGCAACTCAAAAGTCAAATTCAAAGGGATTAGAAGAGATATTGTGGGATTTGGTAGATTAGACGGGATATCAAAAATAATGGAAAATTTATTAATATACATAAATTATTAAAGGTCGTCTTTCGACAATACATATCCACCTATTCAGAAAATTCAGTTAAACCCATTAAATTTAAGGCAATATATGCAGGTGTCCCTTTAATTTGCATTCCTAACGATGTTGATCAATTCCTCAATGCTTCACTTGTCGAACAGTTGGGTATTGGAATATATGTAAGTCTAGTTTGGAGATACAGGAATGATCAGGCACCTAGAAATCCTAATTTTGGAGATGAATTTAGTAATGCTGTCGCCGAGATGTTTAGTGAAGGGTAAGTAAGCTATTAATTATTAGAATATTATGGTGGTGGGTAATTCTTGGAAATTTCAGATTTGCTCGTACTCTACTTTGTACCAAGCACGAGGGACTAGTACGAATTTTGGTTGAGCGTTTTTAAGCACTGATCAAGGGTCAACGAGTCACCTCTTTATATATTCTCACCATGTATATTAAGGATGTTGGATTAGAATCCGAAAAAGACCGGATATTTGAAAATTTTCGGTCGAATATCGAATCCGGATATCCGAAGATTTCCAACTATCCTCACCCTGATATCGCTCCCCTGTATTCGGCCGTCATTAAATTCTTTTACTTGTACTATATCTTTTGGGAGTGATCAATAGATTAATGATCGATTGGGTTATCCCCCATTCTCGATCGAATAGATTATAGTGACCGATCAAGAATCTCCTAAATATCGATCACTCTCTCGACGATCACATGATCACTCCTAAGTTGATCAATTGAACAAATTGTTCAAATTAAGCTTGTTTTGTGTCGGAACAATTTCCCGTTGCTGGAAAAATTAGACTTGATCAATATTTAGACTTGATCAATGTTTTCGTTATATAGCGATGATATACAAAGTGTCAATATACGGGGCGATCCGGGTCAACCCAATAAATAAATAAGCTCAGTAAAACCAATAAATTTCTATAAGTATGCATAGTCCATTTGAATGTTTCTTTGGAGATAGGACTTGTCTTGCGACAGATCTTGATTTTTGTAGTCTTATTGGATTTGTGACACAACAGCTTAAATAATATTTTAAACTAAATTTTTAAAAATATCTTTTATAGAAATAGATATCAACAAAATATATATGAATTGAGAAAAAGAATTCTTTTAAAGTACAACAATGGGTTTAAAGCTAAAGATGTTTTTCTTCAAAAGATTGTAGAGGTTATTGGTGTTTAGTAAATGTGTTTTGTGAAGGAAAAAGAAGAAACAAATGGATTTTAGAATTTTTTTAAATTTATTTTTGGGGAGGGTATTTAACGAAAATTTTTTTTGGGGTTTTTGAGGGATATTTAAAGAAAAAATGGTACTTTTTGGCCCCCCCCCCCCCTCTCTATCTAATGTGAGTATCATTTATTCTTTCCCTCATTTTTGATCAAATTTTTGGTTATTTTTTTGGTCAACAAAAATAACAATGAGGGGAATATGAGGCGAAAAGAAGGAAATAAATGATTGGCATGAAGGAAAGAATAACTAATACTCAAACTAGGGAGGGGGTTAGTTACAAGACTTGTCCCTATCTTTTTTGATGTTCGAAAATTAATGCAACATTTTTATTTTAGTTTGGATTGGATATTAAAAAACAGACTAGGACACGGATACTGATTTTGGTATCTGTATCCGGATATTTACGGCGGATACAGACGGATATCCGCAGGCGTTTTTAAAATATCTGTATCCATGTCCTAGTCTGTTAAAAAATATTAATCCGGCAAATTTTAAGTAAAATAGATCTTTATGACCATCACTTTAGTTAAAGGGAATTTAATTTTTATATTTATTAGTAAAAATTTTATATTTATTATTTAAATTTAGTAAATTTTGGATAAAATTTTTTATTAAATAAAAACACACAACGTTTTTTAGTTGTATGTATTTTATGTATTTTTTGCATTTATTTTATGATCCAAAGAAATTGAAATATGTACTAGTGTTATTCAAATCCGTTACCGGTATCGGTAAATACCGATACCCGAAAAATACCAATTTTTTACAAAATCGACCGGTATGTACCGCCGATATTTTACCTGTAAAATACCGATACCGGAAAATACCGCGGTATTTTTTGAAAACTCAAATGAACAAATTTATACATGTAATAGCGATGAAAACGGGTGAGGGGCAAAACGAGGAATTCCACATCAGTCCCTGGCCGTTTCTGTCCTGAGCTTGTAACTTGTGAATTTGGAAATAATTTTTTGAACTTTTAGTACCATTGGATAAAGGAAAGATAAAATAATCTCATCAACTGATAATGAAGTTATTATCAAAAAACACCGCCATTTTTTAAAAAAAAAGCATTTTTTCAGTTTTTTTGATCATAACTTTGGTACCTGTCGATCAAATTTTTCGATCAATAGCTTATTTTGTAGCTTAATTAATCCTCTATCCAAAGATACCAAGAGTTCCAAAAACTACTTGAATCTTCTCGAGTTATAGAGCTCGGGACTGAAACGTCCCGGGACTGAAGTGTCCCCTACCGTTAATAAAAGTGTTAAATTTGAATATAAAAGCAAAGGAAAAGAAAACTTAACATTTATTCCTTCTTTTTTAAAGTTAAATTTCATTTCATTTTTAGAAAGGTTTATTATTTTTAGAGTGAGGGGCAACTCAAGGAATACCAATTTAAGGAAGAATTGGTCAAGAATATAAGCCCCCGAAAATCGAAAAACCAAGGGGGGACCAAGCACTTTTTTGGGGTGAAAAATTCGAAAATGCAAATTATATCTCATTCGAAAGAGCTCGTCGAGCTGAGTCGAATGACACCAAAATCAACGAAATCCGACTTGATTGGACAAAGTTATGATCTTTTATTTTAGCTCCTTACCTATGACATCTGTGGAGATTTTTGCTGCTACGGAGGCCCCAAATACGTCCAGAGCAAGGGAGATAGGAATAGGTTTATGTTACGAGCCCAGACCCAGCGCCCGTAGACTCCCCGCGAGGCGCGTGCCGCAAAACCCCGCGCGAAGCGCGGGGTTTTGCACAAGCGCCTCGCCGACGCCCCATAGGTTTAGGTTTTAGTTTTTCTATCGTAACTTTGTCCAAACTTGTCCAATCACGATGATTTTGGTGTCATTCGACTCAGCTCGACGAGCTCTTTCGAATGAGGTATAATTTGCACTTTCGAATTTTTCACCCCAAAAAAGTGCTTTGTCCCCCCTATGGTTTTTCGATTTTCGGGGGCCTATATCTCAGCTCCTGTATGAGTCCGCACGAAAATTTTTTCACCATTCGACTCAACTCGACGAGCTCTTTCGAATGACATATCACTCGACCTAATCGGCGTCTGTGTCGTATACCGAAATTTTTCCCTAATTAATTTATAGGATATTTTAAAATAAAATTATTTATGGATAACGAGAATAACATCCCGTGCACAAATTGCCATGGCTTAGGCCACACCGCTAATGAATGCATCTGGCCTAAAAATTGTTGGAAGAAACCGGCTTATGAGATCAACGCAGCGGCCTTGCCGCCCAAAACTTCGACTTTGTCGAACACTAAAGAGGTATATCTTCACTTTTGAAATAATGTTTAGGTTTCCTGCTTCGGTAATAGTTTGGAATTCGCCCCCTCCTTTTTCACCGTTTCCCTGACCATTTTGAGCTTTTTTCTTTGATACTTAATTTATCATGTATCATTCGAAAGAGCTCTTCGAACTTGGTTGAATGATACCAAGATTGGCTATACCTGATAATTCTTACCAAAATTTTGTAGCTAAATCCTTGCTGGGCAAACTTTTTGTGCAAATGCAAGGGAATAAAATAAATGGTCATAACTTTGTCCACTTGAGTCAGTTTTCGTCAATTTTGATGCCATTCGACTCAGCTCGAAGAGCTCTTTCGAATGATATATAATTTGCCATAAAATGAGAAAAAACTAGGAAAAAATAGAAAGGAAAAAAGGAGGGGACGAATTCCAAACTATTACCTAATGTTCGATACTTGATAAGGAAGGAAAGATTAAGACAGTCTTTTAATGTTTGATATTTTTAAAAAATTTCGGAAAGTTCTGGAAATTGTTTATTTTAAAAATATTTTCCAAAAAATGATAATTTTTTATTATAGTTTTTTGGAAGTGTTACGCCATTTGCGGAGAATAACAACAACACGGTGCGCAAACGGACTGAAAAAACTTTATTCAAAATAGCAACATGCGAGGTTGTGAATATTGAGGAGATGAATATTCAAGTGAAACCTCGTAATTTTTTCATTTAAATAATTTTGCTATTACCACTTTTTAGAATGGCGTCGTAATTTCAATTCTTCACAAGTTTTTGAGAGAACAAATATGAGTCGTGTGTATTCCGCGGCTGAGTTGGAGAAGAAGAAAGAAAACCTTTATAGAAAGGAGCTTATTCGGTTTTATAAAGTCGTTTTTTAAGCTAGTATCAATTTTCCTAAAATTTAGGTGGTCAGACATCTTTGACGGATGGTTTGCTTCGAATGATGAAGTGGAATCGTCTACTTCGTCGAATGCTTCTACAGCGGCTTTGCCGACTTCATCGACTTTGTCGAAGGATGCTACAACGGATTTTGCGCAAAAATCCTCTGAACATCAGCGTAAAAATTGATGAGTTGTTTATTTATTTTTCATCAACGGTCGGGAAATTTGAATTGTTATTTATTTATTTTGCCTTACGGCATTGAAATGTTGAATAAAATTTTTGATTATTGAGCACATTCTCAAAAAAGATATTTTTGTTCATCCAAATATGGTATGGTTGTCAGGATAAAATGAATAATGATTTTGGCTTCGTAGAGATACGCTCTATGCATTTGCTTTGCCTCGGTTGCTTATGCGTGCCCTGGTCCCGTTGTCGCTTAAAACCGGGGTTCTGGGTCGGAATCCCGTAAAATCCTGCCGGGATCCCTCCCGCGCCGTACTAAATACTGTCACTAAATAAATTATTGGCGACAAAACGGCACATACAACGAACCGGACAATTTTTAATTTATTTCCGCCCAATTTTTTAGATTTTTTCTTTAATTCTTTTTAATCTCAACCACAAGGATTTGCGTTTTTATCGATAATGGTTTATTTAATTTTCTTAATTATTTCAATATTTTATTTTAATAGAGCAAAAGAAGGCATGAAGATGACGAAATGGGTTCCGATTATTACGGCAATAGTGTCTCCAAAAGGTTAATTATTTAGTTTTTTTAATTTATTCGGTTTGCTGTTTCGAAACCGTTGCTGATTTTCTTTTATTAAATTTAAACCTGAGAGGGATCGGAAAAATTAAACCTGAAAGGGATCGGAAATTTTATAAGTTTTTGGTCGAGGGCCTTGACCAGATTCTTGACCAGACTATCCGAAAGGAATGCTGGCATCCAATTTTTCCTTTCTTCCTCGAATGGGTTTGCGCTCCTGACCTATGTCTAAAATCAAATTGTAACATTTCCCATTCCATCGAGGAAGAAAGAAAAAATTGGATGCCAGCATTCCTTTCGAATGGTGCCCCTTGAATCATGGTGAAATTGAGGAACTCCGAAAAATCTTCGTCTTTGGCCCTGATCCAGTAAAAATAGTGTTTAGATCCAGGCCGACCTCTAAAAAATTTTTTTCCTTGAAAATTTATTCCCAAAAACTTTTAAGGATTTCAAGAGATGAACGCCGCAACGATTATCGTCACGTCACTGGTGATCGCTACAAGGACCGCGATGACAATGAACGCAGCAGATCCTCAAAGAGTGAACGTCGTTACGACTCTGATAGGTACGATTCAGACCGTCCTCGACGACGTACAGAATATGACGATTACAACGATAGAAGGCCTCCAAGAAGAAGGGAATGTCCAAAACGAGAATATGATGAAGACGAGCCGGAACGAGGTTCTCGACCCGCTTGGGATAATGCAAAAGTAAAACGCCATGCAGAAAAAATTCAGGTATTAAAATGTGTACAGACAGGCCAAAGGGTATGAAACTTGAAATTTTTAAAAAATTTTTTCGATTTTTGAATTTTTTTCCAAATTACCCCCCTTCCCATGAAAAGTTCCCAACCTAAGCCGAATGGCTGTTCAATTTGCTTTTTGGCCAAATTGTGAATCAAAAACACCGGTCAGGAGCGCAAACTGCTGTGGAAAGGAGGAAATGCTGCTTTGGATGGAAAATCTGGGGACGAAAAGAATACGAGTGATGACGAAGAATTTGGCCCTCGTTTGCACCCAACCTCTTCCTCTGCTGGAAACAAACCTGAGAAGAGCGAGAAAAAATTGGAGAACAAATGGACTTCAATGATAGCTGCTTCTGCTAAAGACACGAATCAAATGGATAAATTTCAGAGATGTTGGTTTTTTAGATTTTTTTGGAGTTATATTTTTAATTTTTGGGACCAGAATTTATTGAGATTCCAGCAAGAGAACGATTTGCTACCTATACAAAATCAAATTAATTTTAAAAAATTTGTAGTGGGATTTTATGTCGATTAATGATTTTTGGGCATTTAAAACCCCTATTCTAATAGCTATACAGAAGGGGATTACCAATAGAGATCGAGCTGGGTCTGAACCGAGGCCTGGGTTTTCCCCAGGATCCGACCCAGGTCAATAAATCAAACCCAGGAACTGGCCCAGGTTTTGCAAAAATCTCGATCTCTACTTACCAATTAGCTAATCGTTTATTTGATATTCTTTAATTTTTTTAAGTATATCAAGAAAGACATTATTTAGACAATTCCCCCTTCCTCCCTAGGTTCAATTTGAAATTATTTTTCAAACAAAAAAAATTTTAGTGATGGGACTTAAAAAGGCATCTGATAATGAAAAGGCTCAAGAAAAATCTCAATCTGAAGATTCCGAGAAGCAAGCACCATCACTTAATGCTGAAGATTTGGAAAAAGAACGACTTAGACAATTGGAACTTCAACGGAAATTGGATATTCAATATGGTATTTTAATAAATTTATTGTGGGGTCTATTCCGTTTTTTTGGGGGAATTCCGAAAGACCTGAGATTTTTGGGATCTTTTCACAAAATAACCTATTCGTTTTAGCAGAGTTCAACAATTTCAAATTGCCCGTCTCACTTCCCGGGTTAAAGCCCCAAAACAAGATTTTATCAAAATACCTAGTTCCGAGTTGTAGAGCCTGGAAATCCCTATCCTGGGCCCGACCAATTTTGTAGAGTTTACAAGGATTTCTCTTAAATTTACACGAAAATAATTGAGTCACATTAATGTTTCATATTTCAAGAAATTGTCTGAAAATTATCAAAAAATTTTCCTTCAGCCAAAAAACTTCCTTTTCAAACCTTAAATAGTGAGTCATATACTAGACCTTATCACATTTTTTAAATCGTATTAACTTTCGTATTACTCATAAATCGATTCTCTTTTCCCTCCATTTAAATAGTTTTATAAAAATATTTTTCATGAAAACATTTTTTCTTTTTTATAGAAACGGCTCGACATACTCAATTTTCTCGTAGAGGAAAAGGACTTGGCTCTTTTTAAAGGAAGTATGTATTTACCTGGAATATAAAAGCATATAATTATAGAAAATAAATAATTTGTAATTCTCTTTACCCGATAAAAAATATTTTTTAATTAGAATGGTTTTTGTTTAAAGAAATGGCTTGAATTTGGCCATAGATTTTATTTTTTTTGAGTCCACCCTTGAAGATTTATTCCCTGAGAACCTTCTGTCATGTCCGAGTGTTCGTACTGTGGAAAAATTGTGGATGGGAGATGGAATTGAACCATCATGGAATGAGCCCAGACCGAAGCACAACCGACTGTGCCACCATCCAACCCATTGCTGGGTTATTTATTTTCATTTATGTTCTTTCTGCAAGTGCGGACACAACACTCCTTCCGCCTTGCGAAATCAAGCGTCCTCGCTTGTTGCTTGCCTTCTAAACTATCATCTGTTTCGATTTTTGGAGAGCACACACAGAAACCCATTTTGTGGCATTTGCTGCGCTTCTTGCGCCTTACGCATTTTTATATTATATTAGCCTCGCAACACCGGCTAGCCTATCACAACTCAGGCATTTAATTTCTCACAGGGTCTTCTCCTTTTTCTCTCCACAGTGACAGAATTTCAGATCATCACAGCATTTAAGGTTCGCTGAAATTTCCTCAGGCTAAGCCTGGCCTGTGCGACTGCGCCATTTGTCATGTCCGAGTGTTCGTACTGTGGAAAAATTGTGGATGGGAGATGGAATTGAACCATCATGGAATGAGCCCAGACCGAAGCACAACCGACTGTGCCACCATCCAACCCATTGCTGGGTTATTTATTTTCATTTATGTTCTTTCTGCAAGTGCGGACACTCCTTCCGCCTTGCGAAATCAAGCGTCCTCGCTTGTTGCTAGTCTTCCATAATATCATCTGTTTTGATTTTTGGAGAGAACACACAGAAACCCATTTTGTGGCATATGCTGCGCTTCTTGCGCCTTACGCAATTTATTTATATATAAGCCTTCACACCACCGGCTAGCCTATCACAACTCAGGCATTTAATTTCTCACAGGGTCTTCTCCTTTTTCTCTCCACAGTGACAGAATTTCAGATCATCACAGCATTTAAGGTTCGCTGAAATTTCCTCAGGCTAAGCCTGGCCTGTGCGACTGCGCCATTTGTCATGTCCGAGTGTTCGTACTGTGGAAAAATTGTGGATGGGAGATGGAATTGAACCATCATGGAATGAGCCCAGACCGAAGCACAACCGACTGTGCCACCATCCAACCCATTGCTGGGTTATTTATTTTCATTTATGTTCTTTCTGCAAGTGCGGACACAACACCTTCCACTTTTGAAAGGGGGATATCTGGGAATTAAAGAGGATAGGTGCCCGGCTCTGGAAAGTTCTGTATTTTAGAACCTATGATTCAGTTTTAAGTTTGTAGCAGAACTCTGGGTGAGTAGAGAGATCCGTTTCAATCACACCAAATCCAACAATATCACCTTATAACTCCTCCAATCTGGTTGAGTAGAGAGATCCACTTCCCAACTTCTCCATCGATATATCTCCCTCCTTAATCCATCAATATTTTCTCTCAAAGGTTGTAAGTCTTCATGGTTAATTGGCATTTAGTGTTTAGGTCTTCAGGGTTGACTCCATTTTTTAATAATTTTTTAATTTTTTCAAATTATTTTTGTTAGGCTTTACATAATTCCCCCCTAATTAATACTATTTAATAGTTATTTGTAAGCTTACTCCCAAGCAAAAAATATTCTTTTTATGGAGGTGATTAAATCTCATCATGTGGTTTTTCCATGACGTGTCAGGTTGTGTTATTCTATGCGCGCTATTCGCTAAACAATCGATTTCCCGTTCTTTCCCTCAAAATGTTTATTGTTACATGTAACTTTGTATATTTTTCAAACTTTTATTCACCTGTTTAGTATTTTTCTATAAAAATATTTCTAAAAATTATTTATAATTTTGACGCTTTTAACTAATTTTTATCAATCAGTGCTTGGAGACTAGTACCAAAATTCGTACTCATACCTGTGTACCAGGGGCCTTGCTGACAAGAAATTGATTCTCAATATCCGGACGGCAGTTTCTGTGCTGTAAGGCCTGTACGACGGTACTAATACGAGCAAATTTTAAATTTTCAAACACTGTTCCCACTAACAATAAGTAGGGAAATCTTCCGAGTTTATTTTTCTTCTGTTGAAATTTTCTGTCGTTGACCCATTTCTACCTCTTATTTTGAAATTCGGTTTCCTATCATACATTTTTCCTCTCTTTCATTTATCGAATAAAAGAGGAATTTTAACTCCCTCCTCCCACAATTGTTTGTTCAAAGTGTATGACTCATTCACCACCCATTGATTTAAATCCTTTTCTCATAACCGCGCAAATTTCTAAACATTTATATTTTTAAACAGATAAAATTTTAAAAAATATTAAAAATGTCTGCCCCGCCACCTTACAATCCTCAATACAATTGTTATCCACCACAGCCTCAACCTAATTACGGTCAGCCACAACCGGGATATGCCTATGGAGGTCAATATCCAGGGTATCCACAACAGCAGCCACAAGTTGTGTAAGTTTAAATTTATTTTTCTTCCAGAAAACAATGAAAAAAGGAAGTGAATACTAGGGGTGGAAGATTCCCAGGGATCTGCATTGTGTTTTCGAGGACTTGGGCACAGAATATTTTTATGTTCACTCCTTGTATTCGGAAATAGGGAAATTGATAGGATTTTTACGAAGATGACACAGATTATTACCCGGGCACACTTAAAATATTCATAGCTTTCCCTTGGCTTTATTAAAAAATTTTTTCAAATTTCAGCGTGGTGGAAAGGAACCGGCCATCTCGTGACAACAATTGTTGTCTTTGGGCATTGTTGGCTCTTTGCTGTGGTTGTTGCATAGCTGACTGTTGCGATTAAAGAAGTTGACAGGAATTCACTTTTCGAGAATCACTTTTGTTCAGCTTAAGAAATTGTCAGAGAGCCTTGCAAAAATATTTTCAAATTTCATTTTTCCTTTTTTTCAATTTTTTTCTTCAATTTACTGATGTAAAGGAATAAAATATTCAATTTTTAAAAGGTTTACTGAATTAATTTTTGGGACAGAATCTTTATTTTGGTGAAAAATTTTTTCGATGATTAAGTCTCCCAAATACCTCTGTAAATTACTGATAGGGTTGGGGGCCCGGTTCGAAAAATCGAACCGGGCCGAAAGATTCAACGAATTTTTGTCCGAATGACTCGAACGGCCCGGTTCGAAGAAAATGAGGCCCGAAAAAATGACTTGAACGTCTGCCCGGTTCGAAAAATCCAACCCTGATTACAGATGACGGGTGCATTTAATCCCTAAATCTATTTCTGAATTCCTTGATTTTATTTAAATATCACTTTATTAAATAATTCATTATTCATAAACAACTTTCTGACACTAAATAAATGATTAAAAAACCTCAAAAATCCCAACCACATAAAATATAATATTAAATTAATTATCAGAGATTCTTTTGCTCCATAAATTCATGAATTCGAGTTCGCATGGCACGAATAAATTGAAGTTTATCGCCCTTAATCCATTGTTCATTATGATCACTAAAACAACCATTCCGACATTCCTCTACATTTAAACCCTCCTTGTGTGGACCACATTCTGATACGATAAGGAAAGTATTTCGATTGTCTCGTCTTTTGAATACCATTGATTCTCTTAAAAAATTTTTAGTAAAGAATTGTGAATAGGCAAGATTTCGGGGGTTTTGAGAGAGGGGAAATTGCAAGAAGAATCCTTTTTCCACCGCAAATTAAGGTTTGGTGTTTCCGGGTATCCAGAAACGTCCACCCATATTAAAAATAGAGATAGGCTAATACCACTTTAAAAATCAAATTTTGAGAATTTTAGGGTCGATTTTAGTTCCCATTCGAATTTTAATTATTATTGACAAAGCCTAGGTTTCATCTGTTCCCATAACCTATTCCAAAAGTTTTTAGCCTCCCATACACAACTTGCTAATGAAAACGACCATCTTAAGTAAGAAATTCTTAATAAAATTTTCTTTTCACTTCATTGTCAAAAATTTCCAAAATAAATTCCATGTACCTCTAGAACATGTTTTTCGGTAACTTCAGGCTTATACTCAACTATTAACCCCTAAAGTTCGATAAACTGAAAACTCCCAAAAATTCTATCTCTATCAAGAAATTCCCAATAAAATAACGCTTACTCTGTACAAGACAAATCCAACATAAATCCATCCGCTAAAATTCTCAACTCAGAAAAACAACTTGCTAACGAAAATCTCCATCCAGTATTTCTCATTCCATTAATTTTCCGAGAATCACAATTTGAAATTTTTCCATTATTGTTTCCTTCTCTAGAAGTTGTTGGTGTATAACAATTTTGTTGTTGAGGTATTTGTAAAGGTACTAATGAGGAATTATTTTCAGGATTTTGTTGAATAAATGAACTCATTATGCTTTCATAATATTGTTTTGCTTGTTCAATCGACAAAATTTCAGATTGTTTAAGCGGTTTTGGTTTGTGATTATGCACGCCTAAAATTTATATTTTAAATCTGATAAAATTGGGGAGAAAGTTGGTCCAAAGCAATATTTCTTAAAATTTTCAGAAAATTATACATAAGAATTTATTTTAGGTCTAAAGAATTCAGTCAAAGAATTCTAACTTTAATTCGAAAGCTAAAATTTAGTAAAATAATGTAAGGGAACAAATAAGGGACCATTGCAAAAAAAAAATTTTGACCTAAAACTTTTGATGCAACACGCACCATTGCATAAAGCAAGATCTTTTCTTTTGCTTTTGTAGCGTTTTTTAATGCTCAAAGAGATTAAGAAAATCCAAAAGATTCACATTCTCCCATAAAAATTACTTCCCAATAAAAATATTTATTTAAAAAAATTTAAACCTTTCTCATAAACCTGTGCAGGCTGTCCATCCCATTCACGAAATATCAACATTCGATAACGACATTTACCCTTTTCTGGCTTTCGAAAATAACACTTAAAAACAAAATTTTATACTAGAAAAATTATTAAAAAACCTTAAGTGTTTGTTGTCTCAAAGTAAGAAATTGTTTTCCTCTTTCCCGTAAAGGGGAAACCTTTCGTTGAACTCGAAGAATCTCAAAAGCTTCCTCTTTCTCATATTCACCAATAAAATTCCATTCACTTAAATTTACATTTATAAGTCTTCTTTTTAATTTAATTGACTCTAAAAAATTTTTAAATTTAGATACAAAGTAAGAAAAACAAAAAAACCTCCATTTGGGATATTTGAAGAACATGGCATTATTCCTGAATTAAATAAAAAATGTTTTTTTAAAGAAAAGGAAAAGTAATGGTGTAATCCCCATTTTAGCCACATTACAGTTAAGGCTATAGCCAGGATTTTTTTCGGGGAGGAGCCAAGGGGAAAAAATTTTTCTTGGCGCCAAAGCCGCCAAAAATGGGCGCCCCTGGCTACGGGCCTGGCTATAGCCCTTTAAAACTAAAAGTACCTAGATTTTTATCCCAACTTTAACCCTTAAACGACGGATGGGGTCAAAATGACCCCAAAGCGATTTCTAAGCTCTATATCTCTCTTCGCATATTCACTGCACTCATCCCTTTTCGTGACTTTGTTTATATCGATAGCTAGTATTAAAAAATGAATAAACAATAGAAATACATATCTTGTAAAAATTTTTATGCCATGTAGTCACGTTCTGGACGGTTGGGGTCATTTTGACCCCAGTTGTGTTAGTGCCTTATAGATCCGAGACCTAGATTCAAATATATATCAATCGATTTCACTCTCCAAGCTGAGTCGAACGGTACCATTGACTAGGTAAGGAAATGCCTGTCGATCAAAATATAGACTGAGATATAGATCGAGATATATCACAGTAACCGACCTATAACTCTGTACTATCAAGTCAGATTGATTTGATTTTGGTGTCTTTCGACTCAGCTTGAAGAGCTCTTTCGAATGAGGTATAATTTGCATATTCGAATTTTTCACTCCCAAAGAGTGCTTGGTCCCCCTTATAGTATTTCGATTTTCGGGGGCCTATATCTCTGCGAGTTTTCGTCCCCCGCAAAAAATTTTTACATATTTGAACTCAGCTCAGCGAGAGGAATTGATTGGTGTAAATTTCGAATCTAGAGCTAGGGTCTAAAATCGATTGGGGTCAAAATGACCCCAAACAGGCTTTAACGTCGTATGTAATTTTCCGTCGTTTAAGTGTTAAAGTAAAAAGATTAGATAACTGAATTCAAAGTATTCTCCTTGTAAAAGAAATTTTCGAATCCCTCCCGGAATTCCAACAAACTTGTGGGGATTAGGAAAATTAAAAATTTCTTTTGAGAAAAATAAACTTTTAAAATTCATAAAAGCTAGCCCAAATAATTATTAAAATTTCAAAAAATTAAAATTTTATACCTTCCATTGTAAAATTTGGCTGCAAATTTCCATTAACGGGCACACTATTTGAACTAGAATTTGGATCACTAGATGACGGATGGACGTGATTATTATTTAAAGGTGCATATAACTCAAAGAAACCAGTTTTCTAAAAATTTTAAAATTAAAAAAATATTTAAAATAAATTTAAAATTACGTTATTATAAACTGCTTGTAATGTAAATGGACATTGAAGATTTATTTTACATCGGTAATAGACAACTTCTGAAAAAGATATGAATTTTTAAAAATTGATTGAATAAAATAAAAGTTGAAAATTCAAGGGGTACAGGAATTTGTAAGATGAGATTTTTTAGAAAATTTTTAAAGATCAAGCCGTTAGCGTTTTGTGAAGAAAGTAAGAAAAGTTTGTCGGAGAAGAAATTAAGAATGGTATTTGTCAGTTACCCCTTCAGACTTTTGTAAATACTGGTCAGAGTTTCTCCCTCCCTTATTTAAATACTAATCAATCGTGAAGACAAAGGTCTGTAAGGATAACCGAAAAGTACCTTAAGAATTATAAAATTTTTTGATTTCTGAAAAAAATACTTATCCTAAGGCCTTAAATTTTCAAACTCGAAAGAGCCCCGTCCTTTAAAACAAAAATCAATTTTATCCTAAATTTCACAAAAAATAACATAACAAACCTGGAATTCCATTGACTACATTAAACTGTTTGTCAATCAAAAGGCCTTCGGAACGTCGCAAATTCTCGAGATGATTAAAGCTTTGGCAAGCTAAAATTGAAAAAAAGAAATTATTTAATTAAAAAATAAACAAACTTCTGAAAAAAGGAAATTTTTTTCTAATTTCATTGAGCTAAATTAATAAATTTAGAAAAAAAATTTTTTTTTGGAAAAACCGCTGGCTGATTTGTTGGTGATGTCTCGATTGCATTTGAATTTTCAAAAATTGTGTCAGACAAGATTTGAATGTCATCGTCATTATTTACAACAGAATTTTCTGTGTTTTGCATTATATTTCTGGAAGGCGCTCTTTCTAAAAAAATTAATTTTTTCAATTTTTTATTTTAATAATTTAATTTGCTAGAAAAAGTCAGAGAAAGACCTAGTAAATAGTGAAAACTTAATGCCTAATGAATTAAGTATTTCTGGGTCCCAATGCAAAAAGGCGCCAAATTCTGTTGTCAGGAACAGTGGTTGGATTTTTTAAAATGGGACACGCCCGAGTAGGCGCGGGCCAAGTAGGCGCGACCGAGTAGGCGCGACCGAGTAGGCGCAGGCCAAGTAGGCGCAAGGCCAAGTAGGCGCACGGCCCAAGTAGGCGCAAATCTTTTAGCTTAAAATATTCAAATTAAAAAATAAGTCAGTATAAATATTTTTATGTTAATGAGTTAGAAGAAAGATTCTTGATAAAAATTAGAAGAAAGGTACCCATTTTAGAAGAAAGACACCTTAAATATCGATACCCTGTTAGTATACGTTCGTACTGTATGCATTAACTAGGCAGTTCGAAAGTGTATATTTATTTTTTAATCCATTAAAAGCTTTTAATTATCAAAAGACTCCTAACTGTAGCTGGACTTTTTTGTGAAACGCCTTGATAGTCGTATCTTGATTGTTAATTGTACCTTTGTATATACTTCATGTTCCCTTTAACTGGTTAGTTCCTAAAGTCTAACTAGTTAGTCCCCCTTAAACTAGTTGAACTAGTTAGAGTATTCATAACATTGGTAAGCCACAGGAATTATCAAAGCAGCATGGCTTTCACTAATTAACAAACTTAGCAAATAATCCAAAACTTATCAGCAGCTAAGTATAGAGCTTTTATGAGAAAAATATTAAAAGATTTTTTTAATTTTATCAAAAAATAAAAACATTAACGAGCTTCACTTAATAAATTTTTTTCCCTAAGAAGGGCAGTTTTAGAAAAAGTCCAGTGTCCACATAAAGTTGCTTGATTATTCAGCCAACTAATTAACAAAATTAGTTGAAGATTAATAAAAAAATTTTGGGTAAAAATTAAGAAATTTACCCTTGCGCCTACTTGGGCCGTGCGCCTACTTGGCCTTGCGCCTACTTGGCCTGCGCCTACTCGGTCGCGCCTACTTGGCCCGCGCCTACTTGGGCTGTACCCTTTAAAATTGCTCGTACTCCGCACACAGGTAAGAGTATGAATTTTGGTACGAGCTTCAACCCAGAAATGATTGACCTGAATTTTTTAACTCACAATCAGACCACATATATATTCCCTAGATCCAGTGTCAAGGTATTTTTCGGATTCCCGTGATTTCTCCCTAATTTCTGGTAAAGTTTATATTTCAAAAAAATTTTGAAACCCTCAGCCAAAAGTAATGGAAGAAAAAAATAAACAAACCAGTTGGTTCAACTTCATGATTATGTACTCCACTAAAATAAATATTAAAAAGCCTATGAACGTTGTTGGGATCACAACTAGCTGCCAACAAAAGAAATCTACATCTGCCGTGGACAGAGGAACTTCTCTCGCATTCATATCTGGAATAACAGATTTTTTTAAATTTTATAAAAAAAATTTTATTTTTCGATAAAAAATAAATCAAAAATTTAACAAAAAAGCACAAACTTTGTCCAACAATTTTTTGAAGAATAAGATTTGAAATGAACTTGATTTGCACATTTTATAGAATTGAGATCATCTTCAGTTTCTGCTGAGGTTAAGTAAATAAATTCTGGACCAGGCGAAGTAATTGGTTGGTTAACAATATTTCCAGGATTTACAATACTCATTTTGAAAGGTTTACATAGACAAAAAATTCAATTAAAAAGACTAAAATTTAAGGGAAAGTTAAATGGGAATTCTTTGATTACCCGAAGGTCGAAATGCCTAAAAAAATTGTCAAAAATAAATAAATTTAATTTTTAAGTGGGAAATTTTGAAAAATTTATTTTTTGGCACTCCTCTCACTAATTTAAAATTTCCGAAAAAATATTTTTTTGGAATCAATCCATTAATAAATTTAATAGCAAAATGTAGAAAAGGGTCATTTATTCAAAAAATGCAAAAGTGAGAAAAATTGAAAATATAATATATATATCAATTTGTACAGCAAAACAAAAATTTAAATCAAAATTTAAGGGTAACTCTGTCACTAGTTTAAATAACACAAAAAAATGTTTAAATTATTCAATTCAATATTCTGAAATTTTTTTTTAAAATTAAAGATTTCTCCTCAAATCAGACGTTTCTAGGGGATGCTAAAAGTTAAAAGGAGAAAAATTAAAATTAAAAAAAATAAAAACTCACAGCAACTTCGTGGTCTTGTATCTAAAAAATTAAAAATATTTTCAGAAAAAAAATTCAAAGAAAACTAACAGTTTGGTATATTCCAACATAAAAATCCCTTATTGAGTCAACAGGTATACCCGTTGTTTTTTGTAATGTTATTAACACAGTGCCAACAAAGTCTTCTCCATGTACACAAATACAGGCGGCAACTATAACCCCTGAGGCTAATAAAACATAATCTGCTTCGATTCGGCCTAATCGTTTCCTAAAAATATTTTATATTAAAAAGATTATTATAATATATATAATAAGGGACCGGAATATATTATCAAGATTTCGGGGTTATTATGGGCCCCCTAGACCATGTAAATCAAGCCATGTATGTATACCGTAAATGCTCTAATATAAGCCCCGAGTTTGTGTTTTTCAATAGGTCACTTTGAGTGGGACTATATTAGAAGTGGGTTTCTATTAGAGACTGGCTTACGGTAAATCAAAATCCTAAATCGGATTTAAGTACAAAAAATTTATTTTAGGGTCGCGCAAATAGGGCTGCCAAAATGGACCGACTCGGACCGAACGATCTAATCGGGCCTAGATATTTGGCCCGAAAAAAGACT